CAACATCACGCACTTGCACTACCATTTTCACTCAATATATTCAATGAATAAAACAGATTGTGAAGTAATTCGACAGATGGGTGAATTCCAGGAGTTCGGTTGTAATTTATTTACATATTGAAGTCATATGCGGCGTAACGAATTTGCTGACCTTGTATTGCTCAGTTGTATTTGCCAGCATTAGGAAATTAACTGGCTTACTTAGGTGGTCTGAAGGTGAACTCAACTTACTGCTAGTGCCTATCTTTATAGCCAAAATCCTCCTTATCTTTAACACATCTAAACAGTGAATAAAGCTCAACACATGAGATCCTCCCCACAGGTAGTAACAACGCTATCTTTGTCTTCAACTTAGCTTGATTTTGACGAGATACTCAACCCAGCATCAGCTGAATCTCTCGCATACACTACTCTTTATTATTATTAGTCACACTGATATTTATGATATCGGAATGGCTTTCTTGGCCACCAAGATTTATAAGGTTGACAAAGTCGATATTCAAGTAGAAAACATGTTTGACAAAAACCTGGAGTCAACGCCTAACCGATGAGTTTCCATGGGGGCAAAAGTTAAAAAGGATTGTCCAAGATATTATGCCGTGTAAATTACGCGTATTTTCAGTTTTTGCACGTCTGTTCGAACGAGATAACAATTAGATAAACTTAAGTAGACGCATGAGCTTGAGATGGCTCGGGGCTGGGCGTTCGAAATTACTGACCGGAGGGTCCGGGGTTCGAACCCGACCTCTGCATCTCGACTGCTACTGTCTAGGATTGGGTGATCTGGTTGTATCTTGGACCCCATACTTCCTCCGGGTGGTACGGTAACTAAGCATCGATGGGGTAATTGTTCGTGGTCCAACAATTTGTTGCAACTGTATAGTTGTTCCGAATTATTGATTGAATGCAGTGTGACAGACTTGATGTCGAAATTAACCCTGTGACGCATGAGACTAGCACCATATTACTATTGCATTCAGCGGAATGACATATTATCAGGCCTTACATAAATGGAGTGCGTTCACAGATAACTTAGTGACTTTGATGTTTGGTTTAAATATAACGAAAGTAAATTTAAGGAACCAACATCACGCACTTGCACTACCATTTTCACTCAATATATTCAATGAATAAAACAGATTGTGAAGTAATTCGACAGATGGGTGAATTCCAGGAGTTCGGTTGTAATTTATTTACATATTGAAGTCATATGCGGCGTAACGAATTTGCTGACCTTGTATTGCTCAGTTGTATTTGCCAGCATTAGGAAATTAACTGGCTTACTTAGGTGAAAAGATGGTGCACTTGGTACGTACTCTTTGCTGCTGGTCAGATCATTATCATCACCATCATCATCATCATCATCATCATCATCATCATCACCATCATCAACACCACAACAACAACAACATCAACAGCAACAGCAACAACAACAACCACAGCTACTTCCTGTCAGACCATACGACAGAAACCGACCACGTCATCTGGTCCCGCAACACCTCTTGCCAACTTCAAGAATCAGCTCCAAGAGTCTTTGATGACTGGCTGAAATTAACAACTCCGGACGGTTCCCGTATATCCTTTATACAGCTGTGATCGGTATGATCGTGAACTAGGCAAAGCAAGTAAATTTCGTTCCAGCAAACGGCGGCTGTCGTGTACTGCCGGCCCGTAGTGAAACTAGGAGATCTGGAGTGGAACCCTCATTAGTAAGTGGTTTTCCTAGTTTCCATGACAAATTACTTGATTTTCCCCTTTAAGTCCACTTTAATCTTGATCGGGAAGAACTTTTTTCCAAACCAGTAACCCCGAGTCCACCGGCCAGTCAGATACCATTTCTTTTTTTCATTTCGCTTGGTAGCAGCTATGAGGACTTTGCAAGTTCACTCACCTCTTTTGACCCTTTCTTTCTCGATAAGTTTCACTTTGAAGTTGAATCTGATGTCTTTTGGAGAATTAATGGATATTTTGAGCCCTTTAGTGAAGTGCCGGATGGCCGGTATTTGGAGCTCCTGGCCGCACACGATAACGACTTCGTCCTAGTACAGTTGAAAACTTGGAACGACATGCTCATATAAATACTATATTATATTATATTATATTATATTATATTATATTATA